GTAAGTGGGGAGGCCCAACAACCATACTGTTCTCTAGCTCTGGTGAGGTGAGAGGTTACTCAAATATTAGCCACGCATTTGTATCCAGTAGCTGTCACTTAGCAACAGATGACCCATCTGCTTGTTTAAAAAAAAACCTCTTATCTTATCGTTTATGATTTATTTATTAGGCCTTAGGGGTCATCCATAAATTACGTCACACGTTAAGGACGGGGCAGGGGGTCGGTGAAGTGTGCCATTGTGTGACAAGGGGTGGGAGGGGGTCCTAAGTTTTGTGACGTCACATTCCAAATCCTAATATATCTAAGTATTAAAATGCGAACTTTGATGTACTGATAGTAATACAATTAATCCTTTCGTTAATTTTTTCAATAATAATAAATAATAATAATAATATTGTACCACATTCACACAACGCCATCTAGTCCCAAACTAAGCAGAGCTTGTACTATGGGTACTAGACAACTGATATAAATACATATATACCTTCTTGTTTTTTTTGTAAATACATACTTATTATACATAGAAACACCCAGACCAAATCAAACATTAAATGTTCATGCACACAAATGTTTGACTTGAGCGGGAATCGAACCCGCGACCTTTGGAATAGCAGTCCGTTACACAAACCACTACGCTATTCGGTCGTCAAATAATATAATAGTTTGACTTGATGTTGATTTTATTAAAAATAACTTAAATGGTAATAAAATTAATTATGGAACGGCTATTTTAAGTTAATAATTTCTAGAGCAAAATATGTAATGTCACACAATGGTAACTGGATAGTGGATATGGCATGGACATCTGAAGAGCTACAATTGCGTTGCCACCTTTTGAGTGCTTTACCCCGAATTAGAAAGGGAGGGAGTTAACCGAATAATAATATTAATTGACTGCCTCAGTACAGTGGTAGCCTATACAACTGCTGTGCTGAGGTCACAGGTTCGATTCCCAGGTTGGATCAAAAGTTTGTATGATCTGTAAATATTTGTCTCGGAGTTTGAGTGTTTTGTTGTGTGTGTAATTTATATGTATTTTCAAAAAAAAAGTATATAAGTATTCTATCAGACAAGCTAGCTTTTATAATACAAGCTCTGGTTAATTTGAAACTAGGTGACGTTGTATGTTAGATTTCCGAAAATATTATTATTATAACAATTGTTTAACACAGGTCTTTTGTGTTGAACTGAACCGAACTATCTTCTTTACAATAACTTGTATCATAATAAACCATTCTTTGCTATTATAATAAGTCATTGACAACCAAAGCTTTATCTAGCACTAAGCTCAGTATCTCAGTCTTGCTTTGTCAACATCATAATGTACCAATTTATCAGACAATTGAGTTTATCAGAAGAGAAAGCAGATAGCATTGATAACTTTAAACATGAGGATTTTATAAGATCATGCAAAAACGTAAGTCCGTTGATAAGTCAGTTAATGTCCCTGTTTTAGCTGCCTCTACATTTACGGAATAGACATACGGGAACTCAACGCTAGTGTTCAAGCCTGTGGAAATTTTTATCCTGTCTGTGCATTTAAAACTTGTGATTTCTCTCATCCTATCCGTTTGACGTATTCCAATTTACATTTTATATTTTGCAAGTTTGGTCCGTGTGGTGACGGATTAAGAATACAGAGTGTCACCACCCCTATTCATCCCGTGGGTGTCGTAAGAACTACACAGAACAACAGCACTGCAGAGAGAAGGAAAACTTGACACAAACCCTATACCAACCCGTCTGGCCAGCGTGGTATAGTAGGCCAAAACCTCCTTTCTAAGGAGAGGCTTATGTCCAGCAGTGGACTATTAAAAGCTGTTGATGATGTGATGTGAAGTTTGAAAATGATGATATTCCCAAAGATGATTGGTATCAGGCAGGGTTGATATTTGGCAATGGCCTAGATAATTGTTGGATAAAATAATTGTTTACTTTAAAATTTCAAACTAGTGTAGTGCATGTACGGTAGACTTGTTGAGAATTCCTATGGTAGTCTACCAATGTACGTTTTGTGCATAAGTTTCAAATATGTAAAATTAATGACGATGATGTAAAAAAATAAATCCATATACAGGGTGGCCCAGAAAGACCGAAGTGGTGTGAATTCCTTATAACTTTTTTTTTATAATTTTTTTTTTCTTTTCTTTTCAGTATTTTGTAAAGAAGACTTGGATAATTTATAATGGAGCAATACACAATTGAACAACGTGCCCAAATTGTTGAAATTTACTTTTCAAATCAACGGTCCATTGTGTTGACTCAGCGTGCATACCGTCGTCAATTTAATGTGCGGGTTGCACCCTCTCAGTCAACAATAAACCGTCTGGTTGCAAATTTTCGAGAACAAGGAGCAGTAAGGAACCTTCCTGGTCCCGGCAGACACCGAACTGTCCACACGGCTGACAATATTCAAGTGGTACAGGAGAGTATTCGGGAGGATCCAGAAACATCAACCAGGAGACGTTCGTCACAACTGGGCCTCTCAAGAACGTCGCTGCAGCGAATTTTGCACACCATAGGATTGTTTCCATACAAAATTCAACTTGTCCAAGAATTGAAACCAACAGATTACCAGCAACGACTTGACTATGCAATTTATTTCCAGCAAAAAGCACAAGAGAATCCAAATTTTATTCATAACTTAATAATGAGTGACGAAGCCCATTTTCAATTAAATGGGTTCGTTAACAAGCAAAACTGTAGGATATGGGCTACGGAAAACCCGAGAGTACTTCATCAACGACAATTGCACCCAGTTAAGTGTACCGTTTGGTGCGGTGTTTCTTCAGAAAGGATCATTGGCCCATTTTTTTTTGAAAATGAACAAGGTGTCGCCATTTCCGTCAATGGTGATCGATATCGGGCCATGTTGCAAAATTTTGTAAGGCCAGCCGTGGAACACCATCCGCAAATATGGTTCCAACAGGATGGAGCCACAGCGCACACTGCGAGGGCCACAATGACTCTTTTACGCGACATCTTTGGTGAAAGAATAATTTCTCGTAACAGCAATTTTAATTGGCCTCCGCGTTTCCCGGATTTAACCGCTCCAGACTGTTTTCTTTGGGGCTATTTAAAAGGAAAAGTTTATGTTAATAAGCCTAGGACTATTGAGGAGTTAAAAACCAATATTCGAGAAGAAATTAACAACATACCACCGGAAGTTTTGCGAAAGGTCATGGAAAATGTGTTGGAAAGAGCACATTTGTGCGAAGCAGAATATGGCCACCACTTGCGGGATATCATTTTTAATAACTAATCCAAAAATATTCCCCATAAATTTAATGTATTTAAAAAAAAAAAAATTAAAAAAATATCTCTTAAATAAAAAGTTATAAGCAATTCACACCACTTCGGTCTTTCTGGGCCACCCTGTAGAAGCCTTAATAGGATAAGTTTAATATTTAAAATATATTTAGATTAATATATTTTCAAGAATTAAGATCTGCTTGAGAACTGCCCTGGTAGATTAGCAGATAAAGATAATATTAATTAATGAACATATAATGTATGGCTGACCTAATACAATGATATATTATGCCTATGTCAATAAATATTTTATACCAAAACAATGCATTATTTTTATATAAAACATTAGTAAGCAATAAGTTTACTGAGAAAATGTGTTTAGTCATTAGATGTCATTGTTAAAGGCTATTACCAATAAATATTAATAATCTAGGCAAATCAAAAAACCAATCAACATACTTATCACAACATGGAGTTAATAAGTAACTGAGCTTGATAACAGAAGCAATGAAAAAGTCTAACTATGCAAGTCACAGAAATGTTAAGCATATAAAAAATATACTAAATGAACAGTTTAATAGCTCACCACTAACTGTAGCACTCACACATTGTCAACACAGCGCAACTCAACACTGAAAAATGACGCCAAGCTTCTGCACTTTTACCAAAACAATATACAATCAGTCAGTAATGATAATATTATAGAATACAGTGTGAATAATGCACAAACATCGCTAAATACGGGCACAGCACCCACTGCCGACCTCAGCAGCTGTCAAAAATAGGTAAGCAGCCGTAGCAACAACCATATCACGACCGTAGGAGGCGTGTTCACTACGCTATATCTTTACCTGGGAGCTACGTTTGTTGTAGGTGATGTGATGACTGTAGCAGCTGCTTCATTTATTAGCGGTGCACTGCTGCTCCTTTTTAATACGTTAGGAGCATCCACATCCATTATCTTAATGCCACCATTCGTTCACTGACGTACTATGTAGTTATATGCATCGGACTGCCGAAACGATCAGCCCTCTACTGTTTATGTAACACTGTAAGTGCACTGAGAAATAATCTAATAAACAATCCACTCTACAGTTACTACTACATACATGTTTCTTAATACGCGTAAATGAAAGGATAACACAAAATAAATGAAAATACGCTACTCGGAAAGCTAAAAAGTGGCTCTAAGCTGACCTGTCAAATCGCCGCAATAGAGAAGCGTTCATAACATATTTTTTTGCGGCAAAACCATTAAGTTTCAATGGAAGTGTAAACTCTAACTGCAACAGAGTAAACTAAATCACTAATTTTTTTAATAAAATAATAATCATATATCGCATTAATGATAAATAAGTTGGTTAGGTAATGAACAACAAATTAAATAGGTATATAATAAGCCGCGAAAAGTTTTGTTTTCAATATGAATGAATCGAAAGCGATGTCAACACTACTACGTTCCGTTTTTTTATGCCTTTACATTAGTGGTTAACCAACCAATCATAGGAAATAAGATAATTTAATAGCTTTAGTTATTACTTTTATTCTAACAATAAAAAGTTATGCCAATATTTTATATTCAAACTCACAAATATTTAATGGATTTAATTTTTTGCGTATGAAAAATGTCAAATAATGTGATTAAGTGGAATGAAACGCTTTGATGTTTTGAGAATAATTTTGATTTTGAGATAGACACAGAATTATCAATGTAAATAGATAATAGCGCTTCAAAATTTTGATATAATGTTTATAAGGAGAAGGTATGTTTATATTTATTTATTTATGTATAATATCAAGATTTTGTTGTTTATCAAATTACTCGCATTGGTTGCAGTACGACAGTGAAATATTTTATAGCGGCGTTCCTGGGAGCTGCTATTTACTGTGAATGGTTTATCTACCTTGTTCAACCTCAATACTGGACGGATCTTGATTGCAGTGAGCATGACTCTACATGTACCAAAATACTTTTTATAGCCGATCCTCAGATACAAGGCGAATATGCTGTTTCGCCTCCTTTGAGCTACCTTATTAACTGGGATAGTGATCGGTTTGTATATCCTTACTTCCTTATCCCTACTAATATTATAAAAGCTTGTGACTTTGTTTATTACCCATGTACACCTTAACTACTCGACTTATTATAATGAAGTACTGCAAATGTGATATCAGAGGTACAGAAATGGATATAGGAAATATTCCATCCAGAAAAATAGTTCCATTCCTAATGAACGAAAAAACTGTACTTGCATGAGTAGAACTGAAGTTATACATACTTAAAAAAAGTACAACAATATACAAATATTAAATACAAAATAAAATTATATGTAACTATGAACTTTCATTGTTAAAAATCAGTCTGATGACATCATCATCTTCATACTTCATTGCACTGACTCCAATTAAACTTTTCTTAAATTTAATTGGAGTCAGTGCAATGAGTTTACTTCCATTTTCCTCTATCGCTTGATATCCTCTTTCACACAGCTCTACATTGCTTCTGATGTAAGGCAGTTCAATCTATGTAATATTCAACTATATTCTCACTCATTGATCTCACTTATCAATAGTTTTTAATGCATATTTTAAGATGCAATTATTGTTCAAAAATATTTTTTTTCAGTTACTTGAAGTCAACATTTAAGGTGGTTGTGAAATATTTCAAGCCCGATGTTCTGGTGTTCCTGGGTGACCTAATGGATGAAGGCTCCATTTCCAGTATAGTGCAGTTTCACAGCTATGTCAAGAGGTTGGCCAATATATTTGAAGTAGATCATCAAGTGCTGGTGAGAAAATGTTATCTTGTTATTACCATTAACGGTAATTTTACATTCCTAACATCCCTACTTAAATGTGTAATGTGACATTACCCTTACAGTTTTACATTTGGAAAAGTATACAATGCTGGTTTTGATTTCGGTTTTGGAAATGAAATTATTTTGGTTTATCCAATACAGTAAGTCAAGGACTTTGAATTTTTAAAGAGTTGTAGTTATAAAATTAACTTGGAATTATTTAAGACAGTTTAAATTGTTATCTACTCATGAACTACATGGATCAGACTTTTATTTTTCTACTGAGGGGGAGAGTTGATGTCCCTGTCACTGTCATAGTGGCAATCTAAATGACATGAGAGACAAATGTCTATGTCCATACAACTTAAGCCTTCTACAGTTACTGTAGTCTCAGTTCCGTTTCCCCACCAGAGACTTACAGGAAGTCTTACAGGGGAAACAGAACTGCGACACTATCACTAGCTATTATCTGTTTCTTTTACCTTATTGCTAAAAATGCTTATTCCTTTGTTGTTGGCTGGTATTGGTTGTGGGCTCCGATTTCCGCATTTAGAGTCGAGAGTGGTCCTTTATATGTCTAGAAGAGGTTGGCTAGGTGAGCCAACCTTGTTCCTTTACCTTAGCATTCACAGGCTTCTAGGAGCGATTTTGTACCAGGTATGGTACTAATATTCGTTGTGTGGTCACTCCCTCGCATTCCAGGATTACGTTGGCTACCGTTTCTTCTGCTTTCAGGCAACCTTTGCGAAGAGGACTGTCTGTCACATTAATGATGAATAGTTATCGGTTCAGGGCTAGGTGTCTTGTTATGGTTCCTACAACTGGAATATCTAGTCTGCTAAGACCGATCAGTCTGCAAGTAAGTCGTGGTGGGACTTCAGTCACCACCAGTTTGGACTGTTTGCAGCCGGGTGAGTTGCTGGGGTTGCCGAGCCTCTCCTTGCCAACTCATTTGCAGCGTCATTCCCGTGTCAATTATTATGCCATTCAATCCATTTGAGGAGTACCCCATTTGTTGTGGCAAGCCGCTTCAATGCTTGATTGCATTCTAAGACAATACTAGAGGTCATTGTGTTGCCCTCCAGTGCATTTAGGACGACTATGCTGTCAGACAGTATAAGGATGTTGCAGTCCTTAATACCCTTTGACATGGCGGTTGTGGCAGCGTAAGTTATTGCCATACATTCACATTGGAGTATGGAACCGTGTTGGCCTAAAACGCTAGTGATATGTTCATGTTTAGGTCTTGTGAGAAAACTCCGGCTCCAGTTCCTGACCGACTCTTGAAACCGTCCGTGTAAATTCGGACTGCGTTTATGCCAGATTGATCTCGGTCATTTTCTTGTGTCAGAATGTGATATCTCCTTGTAAAGGTATGGTGTTTTGGGATCCTGTCGCATGGGGCTGCTGATAGTGGCTCACTTGCAGCTAATTGATCCCATAATTTGGAGTGCGATCCCTCGCCTTTGTGCCCCAGACCCAATGGCAGAAATGGTTTGGGAAGTTAGAGATTACCTAGACTACGTTTGTTTGTGAACATGATCATTTCTGTTTTACTTACCTCATTGCTGAAAATGCTTATTCCTTTGTTGGAAAAGGGGTTGGCGTAAAGCGATTGGTCGGCTGTAAAACATCTTTTACGGCTGGGCTGGAAGCTCGCTTGACGTCAGACAAAACTTTTATCATGTTATAGAAGGGGGGAAGCTGGGGGAGGTCAAACGAGCAGACGGTCCTTAAGGTCCACCAAATCAGACGGAGGGCTCTGGCAGCAAAATGAAGAAAAGGAGAGACTTCTTCGTCATTATCATAATTTATACCTGTATCCAAACTATAGAAATCAGCCCAAAGTCTTGCCATTCATATTATTTTTACTTACATTACAGCAAGTATGGGTACAGGGTGACAACGACATCGGCGGTGAAAACGAACCGATACGTCACGACAAAATCGCTGAATTCGAAAAGGTGTTCCAACAGCCGTCCATTATATACTATCGTAATGTGTCCTTCTACAAAGTTAATGCCATAACTAACACACACCCTCAGAAATCGGACACCGACGAGGCGCACGAGAACAACTTCAAAATTGTTGTGTCTCATTATCCTGTGACCTTGAGGCATATGTTTGGTTTACAGGTAAGAGATTTTTAAATCAATTGCCATTTATTGCTATATCTCTTTTTTTTAAGACAACTCCCGCATGAGTACTTTATCCTGTGTCGCGTGGAAATTTGCAAACATACATGAAACGGATACAAAGAACACCCAGACTTAGAGCAACAATTTCTGGATCACACAAAGTGTTGTCCCATGTGGGGATCAAAACAACAACACTCAGCGCAATAGGAAGCGGCGAGGTGATCGCTTAAACCACTCCGCCATCTGCGCAGTCAACAACCGACCGACAAAAATACGACCTCACGACTTACTTTTAGTACCGTACCCGTTGAGTTCCGTACCTCAAATAGAAAAGAACGGAACCCTTATTGGATCACTATATTGTCCGTCTGACTGTCTGTCCGTCTGTCTGTTAAGACCCTTTATCTCGGTAACGCGTTAAGGTATTAACTTGAAATTAAAACTATATATTCAGGTCTAGAGTCCCTTGAAGCTGTGAAGAAATCAAACTTTTAAGTCGCCTTAAAAGAAAGAAACCGTTTTTTAATGGTAAAATGAGCAGACGGGTCACCGGTGGAAAGTGACTACTGCCAGCTTTGGACACCGGAATCTTCACAACTGTGTTGCCGGCCCTTAGTGTCCCTCCAAAAACGAAAGAATTACCAAACATCGGTTTTCTGTGAGTCGGCCTATATATGTCATAGCGTGGCTCTTCCATAGCTTATCAGTAGTTAGTCAGCGTCTCCACCAAGAGCAAAAGTCTAGAAGGTGGTTTAACGGAATACACATAATAATAATATTACTAAATAAAACTAAATGTCAGAAAACCCAGCCTTTAAATTGCTAAATATGTCAAGAGAGGCTTTGTTTGTTTCACTATTCACCAATATCTTTCATTCTTCTCGAACTACCCACCTCGGCCCCCTTTGTGTGTTTTTTTTTCTGCTGCCACTAGAAAAAATCCGGCGGCGTTTTGCTAAAATGTTTGCTCTCCTCTTTCGTTTGTTTTTATGTTTTACGTGTTTGCAACGCTTAACTTTTCCCAGATAAAGAAATCCTCTTTTTAACTTGACAAATTTCTAGAGGTCTGTTGTACCTTTAAACACATAAAAATAAAAAGATAAATGTATTATCGCTTCAGGTATATAACGCGATCCGTCCAAATATTTTCTTCTGCGCTCACGAGCACGAGTCTAAGTACGTGAAAGAGACAAAAGAGCTCAAAGACAGGAAGGTCACTTGGTTCGAGAACCCCAAGAGTACTTTGAGTCTGGCCTTTAACGACGAGTCCTTATACGAAGTGTATGTTCCAACTTGTTCGTATAGAATGGGCACTAGTTATATTGGCTACGGAGCTGCTGTTTTAGGTAAGTTTTATATTTTTATCTTATAACGAGAGGGATGAGGTCAGTTTGGGCTACGGTAACCTCACGCATCAGTAAAAAGCACACGTTAAATGAATATGGAAAGAAAATTAAATATTATCTAACTCGACACTATATCTATAGACACATGTGCCTGTACCAGCCCAAGCGCATTTCACAAACATTCAATATTCAGCAGACAGACGACATTCAAAAACAACAAAACTTCGTACAGCGCCATCTAGTGAAGACAAAGTGAACTACACACTAACTAACGATAACTGCATCGCGTAATTAAAGCTTTCGATCTCATGATTCAAATGCTTTGCTGTGCCAATAAAAATTATTACCTAGTCGGCTTTAAGAGGCTCCATTAAGTAAAAAGACTCGGTCAAGACTTCTACAATATTCTGGAGAATACAACAATAGTCTAAATTTTATTTATTCTAAATATGGGATTGATGTTGATAGATGTTTATGGGTAGTACTCACTACTTGTGTGAGATTCGAAATTAATATATTATATAATGTTTAATGTCTGCGAGTGGGTAGGGTTTACAAAGGGAGGAGGATCTATAGATAACACCAAATTGCTCTATTCTAAGGGTTTATAGGTTTTATGAAGGACCTTTATTAACTCAAAATAACTGCGCATGCGCAGTCATCAATTAATTTCTTGTTCTTTTATCTTTGTTATAACATATTGCTATTTTACTTCACAGAAAACAACAATCAACACATGAGGTATACAGTGTTCTGGTCATCAACAAGGTTTCCATATTTATTCCTATATTTATTTATATTAGTAATTTTATTGTTATACTGTCTTGTATATTGCGCAGCCAGGGTCTTTCACAGACAGACAAAGAAAACAATGAACGCAGATATGTCGCCACTGTTAGAAAGAATGTAAAAAAAAAACCGCGATTAGTTGACAGCTTTGAAACAAATCCATCGTAGAGATAGAGAAAGAGAAAAAAGATAAATTCAACTAATATGTAACTTATTTCATCCAGACTGTTATCAGTGATACATTTGTAGTATTAGCCTTTTTTTTTAACCCACTACAGATAAAATAATAGTACAATTGAGTTGTATAAAAAAGGTTTATACAAATTGTGTCTTCCTTTTATACAAAATATGGCTTTCTCAATTTAGGGTAAACTATGTACTCTTTAACAGATCATTTCAGTAATTTATGAGCTTATATGTATAAACCTTCATACAGCAGGGTGACCAGTTCAGTATTGGCGAGGGTGGGATAAAGACCATTTCAGGCAGTTGAGACTTCAGTTACTGAAGCCACGATTACCTGGAACAGCTTTTGATGGTCAGACCTGAGCGTCAGACTGACCCTTTTCCATACAAATAAATAAAATTGGAGTGTCTGTTTGTAATATTAAAATAACCGCTTTTTACTAAATGCATATGTATGTTTACATGGTACATATGCCAAAATAACATTTTTTACCATTTTTGTCTGTCTGTTTGTTCCGGGTAATCTCTGGAACGGCTGAACCGATTTCAACGGGACTTTCACTGGCAGATAGCTGATGACATAAGGAGTAACTTAGGCTACTTTTTTAGACTAGCTTCGCCCCGCGGCGTTGCCCACGGTTATAACAACAAACGCGGGTAACACCGCGGGTCTCAGCTAGTAATAAATACGAATACTACTCATGACAGTTATAATTACACAACTCCCCAAAAAGAGGAGTGTTATATTTTCAGGGTTTATATTGGTGAGTTTCTTTACTCAGTGTGAATAGATTTGGATGTATGAGGTGTGCTATAATCCCGTGGACGTTAGCTGTTATTATTTTTGGCAAGTAAACATGGCGGCACATAATTATTGAACTAATCGCTGTTGTGTTCTTTATTTTTTTTATTAGTAACTTGTTCTAATATTAACTGTCTATTGAAGCTATGTACTTGTGAGGTTATGTATATGTAAAATCGGCTGTGCGTGCCATTTCGAATGGTTTTTGAAATGATTTAAATTTACATAAAAAAAAGACGTGTGGCACTCGGGGACTGCCCGGGGTAAAGCTATTGCATAGCATTTTTTATCAACTTATGCAATTATAATTATTTATTTATGCAGTATTTTTTTTCCTTTGTTTTTTTTTTCTTTGATATTAATTCAAGTTACACGTTTTGAGCGTGGTGACCGATAAGAAAACAATTTGTTTTCTTTTATTAAATAAATGAGAAGTTAATATTGTTCAAAATATTTTTATTATCTTACAATACATGTAGGTTATTCAGGAATATTTGTCATTGAAACTATAGGTTTATGATAACTGAAATAAGAAACATAAGTTTGAGACGTGATATCTTCTAAATATCTTTAAAAGGCGAGTTGCTGAACTAAAGAGACAAGCGTGATATTTCAAAAAAGTCATTAAAAGTTCTGCTATTCATCGATAGATGGCAAAACTAAAAAGTATCACCGCTGTGCCGGTCGGAGGGGCGGGTGTTAGGTTATTTTCGTTACGGAATTTCTGGATTCGGTCTCCCCTTTCAAGGCCCGCGATAGAAGCTATGCAATAGCTTAATAATCTGTAAGTACAAATTTTTGTAAACATATAGCAGATTGTATTCGTCAAGGTAAGACGTAACATGTAGTTAAAACAGATTTTTGACGTGTAACATATTTTCTCTCATCTTCTAATCTGTGGAAGTGATTTCGTAGAATGGGACGGAAGAGTGTAACAAGAAACCGGGGAAGCACGCACTATTTTATTTAAGCAATGATCACGCGCGGTGCTAAACTTGGCCGTCAGATGGCAGCCAAGATGACAGTTTTTTTTTGTTTAACGTGTTACTTCAATGGTAACAGTGCCCCGTGACGCGTTCCAAGTATTAACAAAAGTATTTTTTTGCATTTTTAGTTATTGGTATCAACAAATCAATATTTATAGTAGTTATCTTATACATATGACTTAATAAAAATATACTTACTAACCGACTTCAAGACATAGTATAGCCATGGTCGTATAGTAGTGTTCATAAACATCAATACATTTCACTAAAAAGTTACTTGAATAAAATACGGTTTAAATTCTAGTAGTATAGGGCGTTTATTTATTTGAAACAATTTCTTTACTTTTACTTGTAAACCCGTTAACGCTTTCGATGATTAAACTATCATTGATGATAAATAGCTTTAATTTTTCATACAAGGTACAAGAAATAGAAATTATTTAATGTTAAATAGTCACCGCTTGTAAGATATATTTTAACTAAGTAACCACTAAAGGATTTGAACAAATTAATCGTACCGTTATATTCAATAGTTACTCATAATACGATTTTTTCACAATGTGATAGTTTTTGTATAATGACGTAAGGCGCAGAAATAGACAAATTACCGTTAGGGAATAATTATATATACATACACACACACACACATGTCCGTGTGGTGACGGATTAAGAATACAGAGTGTCACCACCCCTATTCATCCCGTGGGTGTCGTAAGAGCCCACTAAGGGAAAAAACTACGCAGAACAACAGCACTGCAGAGAGAAGGAAAACTTGACACAAACCCTATACCAACCCGTCTGGCCAGCGTGGTATAGTAGGCCAAAACCTCCTTTCTAAGGAGAGGCTTATGTCCAGCAGTGGACTATTAAAGGCTGTTGATGATGATGACACACATATTGAGTTGCGATACACGCTTGGGTGTTCTCGAGTTAAATAACCGGTGGGCGGTGAATCTGGCAACTCACAGCGAGTAACTCGTGTTACAAGTCGGTGCACTCAGCACGTTACTTTTGAATACACGGACGGACCGACTTTTGAACACATCAACAGTGACAGGTGTGGTGTGCGGTACCTTTTAACTTAAATTCATAAAATTACAATTTCAACCATGTACCAATACATTCTTGTCGCACTGTATAAATAACTATTCTTTTTGTGAGCTTGATAAGTTTGAAAGAACAGTGTTTGCCTTGAAAATTCCTACTCAAGAGTTATTATTAACTCTTAGGACGTCGCGGCGCGCGGATGACCTATGACCCGTTACCTACTGTCGCGCCCTTGAACTAGTGACCCAGTCACAGCTGAACGAAGTCATTATTACCTCAATATCTACGTTATTTTATAATTATATTCAATGAAATAAACATATTTGGAATCCCTGATATATATTCTTCTAAATGTTGTGACAGAGACGCTACCGCGTAAAAATTTGGTGTCACAACTGTTGTGACGGCGACGCGTCGGAGGTTATATAAGCCTTCATTCATTGTTATTCATATAGTTTTCTTTTGTTCCACTTTTGTCTGTTTGTCCAGGTGGCAAAGGCCTCCTCCAATCCTTTTCTAATTTCGTCCTACCTTCTCTGTGGTCTACCTCTCTTTCTTTTTCCATCCCTTGGGAACCTTAGTGTGATGATTTGACTCCATTTATCCTTTCCTCTGATCATGTGGAATCAAGAGTACTAAAATATTATTGATATAGCTTCTCATGTTGTCAAAACTCGAATTCAATCTTTATTTAGTGGAATTACGTGATGGATGAATGAATAAATGTGAACGTTTGGGTTCGTTAGAACGTTGTGAACCTTCGTTACTTCAGATGATGTATTGTCTGTAGTCATTTATAACCCACATTGTTTTTTTTATTTGTAACGGCCTTACCGTTTGGTTCCATTAAAATTTGAAAAAAAAACCTCCATCCCTAAAGGTAAAAATTAAGGAATATAGAATCACGATGCAGGCACATTAACATCGGTGATACTTTTATATACCGTCAATATCCGCCCAACATGCACATTTGATAATGACGTGATTACCTCTCAACTGTTGTAGTAATCAAACATACAAGTACCCGCAAGTGTTACTACATAAACTTGGCGGATCAACACAACTACACAATCATTTTACTTATCGATGCTGTTTTTATCCCGAATAGTACATTTTAAATATTTTGTCATAATTATCTCATATATTTATATCATTGTGTTAACATATAAGTGTTACGTCTAATACATTCC